ACAATTGTTTAAAAAGGTTTTGTCCGGGAATTGACAAAGGGGGAGATTGTTAGGTCCCTTTATTGTCAAATCTGGATACAAAACTTTGTGTTGAACAAGTTGTAACTTTCTCTATGTTTTTGTCTTTTCCGCTTGAGCGGGACCATTGGCGCTCGAGTGGATATTTTGGTCTCTCGGTATTTTGTCAGGTCTGTAAAAGTACTGGAAGGTGTGATTTCGCGCTCGAGCGAAACTCTATTTTGTCACACACATATTTTGCTGACGCCGTTCGAGCGGGATGTTGAGCGCTCGAGCAGAGATCGCGGACTCAGGTTGCCTATTTATACCTATTTAGGTTGTTTTTAGGGATTACTTTTTCATAGATCTTATTCAAGAGTCCTAGGGTTTTGTTAGAAGTTTTCTTCTGAGGTTTTTGTGAGTTTTCCTTGATGTTCTTGAGAAAGTTCTAAACTTATGAGTTGAGATTCATACATCAAGGAGTTTGTAACTTTATATTCAAGAGAGTTCTCTTTGGTAGATTCTGAAGATTCAAACGCAGAGTTTCAAAGGAGGTTGATTTTGTACGTAGTCGTTCATTCGACAAACGAAGTTGTGGATTCAACTTCAAGATAATCAATTCCGAGACGAAGGCATTGTGAAAGAGTTACAGAAGATTCGAAGACAAATTGACTGAGTTGGGTAATTTGTGTGTTATCTTTGTAATCTTTCTTTCTTCAGTAGTGGATTGATTAGTAGTGGTTCGCCCGTGGTTTTTTAATACAATTGAAGGTTCTTCAATTGTGATTTTTCCACGTAAAAATCGTTTGTGTCGATTTATTGTTTATTTCGAAAAACAAACAATATAAACCACTCTCGTAAGTGCTTGTTGATTTAGATTGAGTGTTTTGGATATTTGGGATTTGGAATATCTTAATGTTAATCTAATCACGAATCATTTAGGATTTTCACAACTTATACAAAAATTAATTAATTAAAATTTTTAAATGTTATTTTAATTTTAAAATTTAAACTGGCTTGAATTAAAGCATGCACAAGACTACAATATTAAGGTTCACTTTGTAGAAGTAAAACAACTCGTTTTGTTCCTTCTTATTCCGATGTGAGATTATAAAATAAAAGTTAACAATTATTTGGACGGAAAGTTTATTTCGAATCAAGTAATCTCAGTCGTTCAATTTTTAATTAGATCAATCTTTAGTTTATTTCTAATTAAACAAATCTAATCAATATATTTTGATAAAACTACTAAAATCACAGTTAAACCAACAAATCAGTCAAATCAAAAATAATTCAACCTAATCGGTTAGGTCAAAAGACTAACTAATTTACACAAAAATTAATTAATTAAAAATTTTAAAATTTAAATTATATTAAATTAAAACATGTACAATACTACAATATTAAACAGGAGTATAAGATTTATTTTATATGAGTAACATAATTCATTTTTTTTTCATCTCCCAATGTGGGATTATCAAATAAATCATAGACTAAGGCTTCATTTGGGAACAATTTTTTTAGTAATTTTTTGACTTTTTGACTAAAATATAATGTAAAAAAAACTAGTATATTTGGAATGACTTTTTGATTTTTTATGAAAAGATGTGCAAAAAATATAGAGAAAGGAAAATTTTGACTTTTTTTTATAAGTTGTTGATTTTTTAATTTTTTTGTGACTTTTTGGCTAAAATTATCACTTGCCAAACGAAGCCTAATTAGCTAGCTAATAGAGATTTTCTTAATTGTTTAAATTAAGAATATTAAGAAAATCAGTATGAGATATTAAAATTTTCACAATACTTCTCACTAAAAATCTCATTTTTCTTATATAATATATAGATTGATAGGTGCTCGGATGAGAAGCACAATTTTAAATTTTCTTGTTCAAAGGTCTCTGTGATAATTTTTTTAATTGGTAAGGCCAAGCTTATATAAAGTGGTAATGCTAGAGAAATCAAATGTTTTATCAAATAAATGATTAAATATCTCATATAAGTGTGAAATCTATAATTTTATGGATCTCGCATCCATACGAGACATTTGATCATTTAATAAAAAATTTAATAATGCTAAACACAAACACACACTCTCTCTCTTTCCCAGCTAGCTATCATTCGCCCTCGCCTCAATCACTGTCGCCACCACCATCTCCTCCGTCACCGCATTCTCTCTCTCTCTCTCTCTCTTAGCCATCAACGGTGGCGCCATTGTAGTAGCGGTGGCAGCGATGCTCTCTCACCAATCCCAGCCTCTCCATCTCTCTCAGCACTTTGAGCGTAGGTGTGAGCTGAGACGAGGCCACTTTTTCTGAGATCACGATCTTCCATTCCTAGATTTGAGATCGCACACTAAGATAGGCAAAGGAGAACTAAGTAACGTCAACAACGGCGATGTATAACAGTAGTGGTAGGGACGACGGAGGAGAGGTAGAGGTCTCTGGACCAATCTACCTGTGTTTGCAGAACTTCAAATCTGAGAAGACGAAATGGATATTGGTCCATGAACTTGAATAACACTTTCTCTCTCTAAAACACACACTCTCTCTCTCTCTCTCTCTCTCCAATTGATTATCGAATCAAGGTCTTATAATATGTTTTGATCTAGTAGTCGCGTTAATTTGGAATTGATTTTGTGTCTGATTGTGATCACAACCCAGATCTGTTTGTATGCATAGATAAAGGTAATTGACCTTAAACTACTTGCTTTGGATCTGCTTCGAAAGGTTCTGTTTCTTAATATCAAAATGAAATGACCTTTGCCTCTCCTTCGACTAGACCATTAGCATCATCAACTGAAGCTGAATCTTCACTTGGAGGATATTAGCTTGTATTTGGATTTGCTAGGGATCAACAGATAAATTTTCAACATAGATTTTTCAACAGATAGAGAGAAACAGATAAAGAGATTAAAAGGAGTGAAGAGAGGAGCATATACAGAGAGTTTGAAACTGATATAAATTTAAACATAGAGAAAAATTAAGTTATAAAAATTCAATAGATAAAAAATATTTCAATAGATAGTTAAAAAAATTAAACAGATCATCGTCTTGGTAGGGGGAAATTTTAACAGAAAACTAAATTTTGAACAAATAGGGGAAATTTTTTGAACAGATAGTTAAAAATTTTAACAGATAGGGAAAATATTTTAACGGATAGACAAAATTTTGAACAGATAAGAAAAAAATTTGAACAGATAGTCAAAGAAAGTCAACAGATAAAAAAAAGTCAACAAATAAATTAAGGGGTAAAATTGAAAATAAAATATCCTTCAAAACAAACAAAAGGACTTCTCAGGGAGTTTCTATTTGCATACACCCATTCCACTTTATACACACGCTTAATGATACTATTTTTATTACAATTTTATCCCTAAGTGAAATTACTATTATAGATATCATACACAATTCAAACAAACATATTTGGAAGTTGAATGTCGAAAAAATGAAAAAAATTCAAAATTCTACTGTCGAAATAAATGATAATTTTCGGAATGCTACTTCCAAACAGGTTGCTTATTTTCAAAAAAACTAGTTCCGAATGTGGAGCAGATTACTCATTTCGGTGGGCTATGTGTTCATTTCGAAAATGGTAAAAACAAACGTTACATTACAATGAGGATTGAAATAAGTAAACTAACCTAAATTCTCCAAATGTTAAGAATTCTTTCAATTATTCACATGAGATGTCTTTAATGGTTTAGTGAGATGTCTTTAATGGATGGATGTAGTTTTTTGAGACGAAAGGTAGAGTGTGAGAGATGGGTATGTGTGAGTGAGAGACGGGTTTGGGGGTTTGAGGGGTTTGTGTGTGTGAGAGACGGGTTTGGGGGTCTGGGTGTGTGTGTGTGCATGATTTACATTGAGGGTAGACGTGGAACAAAAGGTGTTTGCAGTGAGCAAAATAAATTGAGATTAATTTTTAAGTATGTGTATTGAGAAGGATGTGTATAGAGTGGAATGAGTGTGTGCAAATAGAAGCTCCTGACTTCTCACCAAACTATTTCACAAAAGATGGATCTCTCACTAATAAAGAAATATTTATTGGATCTAATCCCTTACAATCTCTTTAAATTAGATTTATCATGAATTATTCTATTTATATTTTGTTTAATAGCATATATATATATTTTAAACTTATATTAACATTCATTAACATATCCACGATATGCCATATATAAAATCGATGCACGATACACAATATGTATTATGATTCGATGATATACACACAACATACTTCTTCAAAATAATTCCTTTTTGGTGAGATGATTTTTAAAATGTCGCTAAAAACAAAACAATTTGGTACAAATATGATTGATAAATGAATCAAATAAATTCAACTCAGTACGTTCAGTAAACAAGTGAAACTTGAATATATTTTGAAACTAGTTAAAATTTTAAAATCAACTTGAATAGTCAATTACTCATTTAGCCCGATTCAATAAGTTTAAAACTATATAAAATTATCAAATTATTCAAACTCAGCTCCACAAAAATCTTATTTGCAATCAGTTCAAAAATTTAACAAACTAAACTTGAATAAATTTTAAGTTGATTAAAATTTTTAAACTAAATTTAAACAATTAATTATTAGACTCATTGGGTTCATTTATCACCCTAGGTGCAAAAAATGTCTCCTTTTTTTTAAAAAAAAAAAAAATTGACTACGTGTAATTTATCACTAAATATTCAATTTTATCAATTAAAATATTTCATAACTAAAAATTGATTTTATCCTAATTTGTGTAAACCTTAATTTGTTAGAAGGGATTTGGAAAGATGGTTAAAAATTATTTTTTTTGACTTTTTTTAAAAAAGCATGTAAAAACTATGAAATGAAATGTGATATAACCAAAAATGAGTTAAAAACTGCCTTTTTACTTTTACTCCTCCCAAATTGGGCCTCAATAGTGGTTCTATTTTCAAATTTAATTCTTGAAACGGTCGAACATAACAATGTTAAGGATCATAAAACTGTCATAAAGCTCAACTTGATTTCAAGAGTAATGGCATTGCTCTTATTACATGTTTCTCCCTCTGCAACTCTCTCTCTCTCTCTCTCACTCACTCTCTCTCTAGAATTCATCGTCGGTTGCTTATTTTTCTTGTGCCTTTCACCACTCTGCTTGTACTTTTCTTCGACTCAACTGGCCGGCCATCACATAAACACTAAATTATATCAGCTTTCATTAATCTTTTTATTGTTCTATATTCATATAAAACAAAACTTCATTAATTTCTTTAATTTCCCTGATGATCAACTCTTGCAATTACTTTGTATGTTCTCCTTCTCGATTGCAATCTTTTTTCAGATTCATTTTGATTATCTTGTTTGTTTGTTTGTTTGGAAAATCTGAATCATGAATTGGGTTCTTTTATTTCAAGTTATTTTAGTTCTTATTTTTGTTTAACCTTTTAGGCATAGAAATACATAATTTATGGACAATTCAAAAGCACGTCAACAGAAGAAGGGGAGTTTAATCCCCCTATCATTGTGTAATACTTTATGGTCTCGTGATAAGTCCAGTAAAGATTCGCGATCATCTGATGGAAGCTCAATCAAGATTGATAAAGATGACGGTATCAACGTGCAGGTTGTTCTGCGTTGCAGGTGCGAAATATTCAATTTCAACACATACATATTTGTAAATTTAGATGCTTGATTATATCATATTGATGGTTTTGTGTTCTAGGCCATTGAGTGAAGATGAAAAGAGGGCAAAAATGCCAGTGGCAATTTCTTGTAACGAGCATAAGCGCGAAGTGTCTGTTATTAAAAATGCAGCTAATAAGCACTTAGACAAATCCTTTGTGTTTGATAAAGTGAGTTCTTGATTTTGCTTTTGTTTGAGTTTTGAAGGACTGAATTTTGTTTCTAATAGTTATATTTTTGAAACTTGTTTCAGGTATTTGGTCCAAAATCCCAGCAGAAGGACTTGTACGAACAAGCCATTGCTCCAATAGTCAATGAAGCTCTCGAGGGCTATAATTGCACTATCTTCGCGTACGGTCAGACAGGAACGGGGAAAACTTACACCATGGAGGGAGAAGGAAGAAAGCAAAAGGTTGTTTTTTTTTTCTTCTTTTCCACCATTGCCACGTGTTTAATAGTGCCACATTCAGGTGTTGCCGATGCATTCATCTATTATCTTTCTATGTAGCTTGCTTTTTCTTTCCTTGATTGTAGAGCGGAGAATTTCACAACGCTGTCGGCATGATTCCAAGAGTGGTCCAACAAATTTTTGATACTCTTGAAGCTCAAAATACCGAATATAGCATGAAAGTTACGTTTCTAGAGCTCTACAATGAGGAAATAACCGATCTTCTGGTCCCTGATGAAGTCTCAAAATCCTTAGATGACAAGTCAAGGAAGCCAATAGCCCTCATGGAAGATGGCAAGGGAGCGGTTTTCGTGAGAGGCCTAGAAGAGCAAGTAGTGTGCACTGCAGATGAAATTTACAAAATCTTAGAGGAAGGTTCGGGAAGAAAGCATACTGCAGATACTCTTCTGAACAAACAAAGTAACCGCTCTCACTCAATATTTTCGATTACAATTCATACTAAAGAGTGTAGTATAGAGGGAATTGAGCTGATCAAGTGTGGAAAACTGAATCTTGTCGATCTTGCTGGTGCGGAGAATATATTACGCTCTGGTGCAAGAGAGGTATATCTGGTTTTTTGTTATTGTTTTTGCTGAATGTAGTTAGGAGAATGCTGTGTAGGCATGTTGATGCAGAGGAGGGTATTGAATGAACGAAAAAACAAGGAAATATAATAACAATACAAAATAGAAAAACTTTTCTGAATTTTTATCAAACTTGGTCAATAATTGACTATTTTTAATGGCTTACTAGCCACTCCATAATCCAAGCCACAATTACAGTAACTACTTACTAATCACACCATGATTACAGATAATCAACGAGTTATCAAAATAGAAAATTTGAGTTGAGCTCAAAATTTGAATCTAGAATAGAAAAGAGATTTCTTGGAATAATTATGATCAAAACAGATTTGACTAAAGTTCTAAACCAGCTAGTCAAATACTTCAAAAGTAGTAAATTTCCAAATTTGAAGGCGAAAACAATGGAATTTCTCCGAAATCCAGTGCCATGAACTTCCTATCTAACCACACTGCATCACATATTGTTGCTTTTCTAGTGTTTTGCTACCTAATTCCAAGTAGCTGCTACACAATATGCCACTTAATCTTTTGCTTGCTTTTTTGGTGATTTGCTAGTTGATTAGTATCTGCTTCACAATATTGCCCTTAATCTTTTGCCTTTCCAGTGCTCTCAAACGAGTAAATGTAACATGAAAGCACTTGACACCTGAGAAATTTTCAATGTAGGAAAGAGCGAGGAGGGAAGCTGGGGAGATCAATAAAAGCTTGCTTACACTTGGTCGTGTCATTAATGCCCTAGTTGATCAGTCTGTACATGTTCCATACCGGTATGAATTCTAGTTAGCAAAACAGTACATGAATTAATACATGATATAATGCTACATCTAGAATGCATGATGAACTGTTGAAGGTTTTAATTTTGGAATTCCAGGGATAGCAAATTAACAAGGTTATTGAGAGATTCATTAGGAGGAAAAACAAAGACATGCATAATCGCTACAATATCACCATCTATCTACTGGTTGGAAGAAACACTCAGCACTCTAGAATATGCATACCGTGCCAAAAACATCAAAAACAGACCAGAAGTTAGTAATCATTCCCTCACCAATCTTTCGACACACTATCTTCTTTTTAGTTTTTACCCTCAATAATAATTTCAGCTCACTACTACTTTTAGGTAAATCAAAAGCTGATAAAGTCCGAGCTGATCAAAGATCTGTACACAGAGATAGACCGTCTTAAGCAAGGTTTTTGAGCACTTCCCCCATTCATATATCTCAAGATTAGTGTTTTAATATCTACAAAATGACAAGGTGCAAAAAATTAACTCCATAGAATCTAATATGAGATGGATATATCACCAGAGTTATGTGCTACAAGGGAGAAGAATGGCATCTACATTCCACGGGACCATTACATGAATGAAGAAGCTGCTAAGAAGGTTTAGATCCAACCCAATAGCTGTTAGATAATGTTTGTTTTCTTTAATATGAAATCAAAACTTTCTATTAATTCTTGATCTATCTGTACAGGCAATGGCTCAGAAAATAGAGCGCATGGAAATTGATTCAGGTTGTAAAAACAAGGCAAGTATAAATTTTTTCGGGACTTTACTCTTTTTAAGTCACAAATTTCAGTAGTATGTTGATAAATTTATATGCCGCAGCAACTAATGGAGCTTCAGGAGCTTTACATTAATCAGCAACAGTTAGTTGAAGAACTAAGCGAAAAACTTGAAATTACTCAGGTATTATATAATTTGATCATCATTCAACATTCTTAGATAATTTCTGTAATTACAGTGCTTTTCTACAAGGGAAGGGACTAAATTACTTGTATTATGCTTTCACCTGCAGAGAGAATTTGAACAAACTGGACAAGCAATACTTGATCTAGAAGAAAGATATAGCCAATCAAATGAAAAAATTAAAGAAAAGGACTACCTGATTTTTAATCTACTAGGATCCGGTAAGCAAGAGTTCTGTAATATTTTTTGGCAAATATTTTCTTATGAAAATATAGTATTGGCATTCTACTCTGATAGTCCTAAAAAACTTCACTTTCCTGGAGAGAAATGTTCTGAAAATAATTAAGAGCATCAATGATTTTAAAAAAATTTAAATTCTATATTTTTGTTAGAGAAAGCAATGACTGAAAAAGCATTTGAGCTTCATGCTGAGCTCGGGAATGCAGCATCAGGGGTATCCAGCTTGCTTGCAGACATTGGTTTGTATTTTTTTTTTTTATTTTAAAAATTATTAGAAGATCATGTTGTCAAAATATTGATTCATTGACATTGCCAATTATGATTTGTGAACAGATCGCAAAAGTAAAGTGGAAGGCAGGAACAGAGTTCTAATCCAGAACTTTCGCTCTCAACTAGATCAGCAGCTTGAAGTTTTACATGAAACTGTTGCCGCTTCTGTAACAGAACAAGAACAGCAACTGAAAGTAATAGAAGAAGACACACAATTGTTTGTATCTACAAAGGCCACGGTAAAATATAAATTATTTGGTTACAAACAAGAACTCATTTGTCTTTTATCAGTGATTTCAGCAATGCTTGAAGCAAACACATGGAGGATTTGGAACTCATACTGTTCTTTTAATGTATATTTAGGCTACTGAACAACTTAAAGCACAGCTTGGAGGGCTTAAATCCATGTATGGTTCTAGTATAAAACATTTGAATGATTTAGCAGGAGAACTTGACGGAAAATCACAGTTAGCTTTTGATAATCTAAACTTGGAAATATCAAATCATTCCAGTTCCCACATGAATGTGAGTACTATTTCTTGACTGAGTCTTCCATGATTTTGTCATCTTCTCATAGCTGCATTTCATTCTTCTCAGCTTTTTAGAAATATTGCTTCAGAGGCAGATTCTTTAATCAATAAGCTACAAAATAACCTCAATAATCAAGAGGAAAAGATTGCTGTCTTTGCGCAACACCAGCATGAGGTATGTTCTTATACTTATCATCAATCCCAATTCTTTTCTTTCATTAAAAGTTAATCACTTTTCGAAATTATGTTTGACACTTTGTGACATCAGGCTCACTCCAGAACGTTGCAGATGACTCAATCGATTTCCAGTACTATACTGAATTTCTTTGAGAGTTTAAGCTTGCATTTTTCAAAATTGACACTTTTAATGGAAGAAGCGTGCACAGTGAATGACCAGGAACTCCATGCACTTGAAAAGAAGCTCGAGGAGTATGCTGTTAACGAAGAAAGGCAACTATTGGATAAAGTGGCAGAGATGTTAGCTACTTCAACTGCTAGGAAAATAAAGCTGGTAGGCAGTCCAATTAATTGGCAATACATTTAAAACTTCATCTCAATTTATCTCTTTCAACCTCTCTCTCACACACACACAACTTAATGTGAAAGATATGCTTTGGTTCCCGTTTAACGAATTCGTTCAATCCCTTTGTGTTTTAACCTTATCATAACTTACCCTTTTTGACCGCATGATTACTCTTTGGCTTGAGATTTGTTTAGCTTTTTTCAGAGGAGGGTGGACTTAAATCTTTATTGATTCTATGAATCTCTCAATCTGGTTGTTTAGGTTCAAACAGAGGTTGATGGCGTTCGAGGGAGTGCCGCCAACAGAATCAACAATCTACATCAGGAAATGTCCAACATCCAAGATTCGACTAATTCTGTCCAAGAAGAGTGGGAAACTTACACACAAAAGATTTACGCCCAATATATTGAGGACAGTACTGTAGTGGAAAGCGTGAATGATGGCCTAGAAGGCGTTAGACATTGGTATGATCAATTTCATGACATTATGACTATTGAAATTGATTTTATAATGTGTACCCATTTCTACTTTTTTTTTTTAATCTAATTTTTATATATCATACTATTGAATCTTTGTTATCTTTCTCTGATGAATTTTGTAGCATGGAAAAGGCAAATATGGTTGCTGAACATTGGAGGAATGCTAAAGACTCCCTTCTTAGTCTTCAGAGAAGAAATGTCGATTCTATGAACTCCATTGTCGAGTGAGTTCATCCTGTGAAATTGATATATTTTTTTTAATAAAAGAAATTGAATTGTATTGTCAAATGTCCCTTGGTTTGTTTACTTAGGGGTGGAGTGGAAGCCAATCAAGTGATCCGTGCTCGGTTTTCTTCTGTTGCCTTGTCAACAATGGAAGAAGAAATCGCGACAAACAAGAGTTTTCTTTCCTCCATTGAGGGTAAGTTTCCATTGTTTCATACAAATTGATCTTTCACTCAGATAAAATTATTTTCTGGATGATTTTCTTGCAGATTTACTGAAACTTGATCAAGATGCAAGCAAGAAAATCAATTCCTTGATTGCGACTTGTCGTGAGGGAGTGAGAGAAATGGAAATCACTCACTCCCACAAAACCATAGAAATCATACAAAATGCAGAGAAATCTCTGGTTAATGAATACAGGGTAAGTGCATCACAATTCAAGGTTTTTGCACCAGTGAAATACAGTTTTGGTTGTGAGAGTCTAACATGATCTATGAGACACCGACACTTCAAAATAGGTGACACAGTTTTGTCAGACACTTATGGGACATGGACTAGGCAGCATAACATGTCTTTATATACAAAATGTCACACACTGATCTACATATACACAATTGTGTGAAGTTCAAAGATTGCCTTCTAAGGATCCCTAAAGGCTCATACAACATAGTCTAACTTCAGGTGTTTTTTTTTTTTTTTAAAAAAAAAAAAAATTAAATTGGTGTTAATTTTTATTAAATTTAGTTGTTTATGGAAAAAAAAATTTGCACCATGTCGTTGTTCTTATTTTTTTGGAAATCATTGTATCATGTATCCATTTTTTTTTGCCATATTATCACCATGTCCTTGTTCTTATTTTTTTGGAAATCGTTGTGTCATGTATCCATGTCCATGTATTTTGTCTCTAGCTGAAACATTATTGTGTTTCTATTAACCAGGTGGATGATCAGCACTCACCATCAGCACCACAGAAGCAACCATTTAATTTACCATGCCCAACATCAATTGAAGAACTCAAAACTCCTCCATTTGAGGACTTGTTAAAGTCATTCTGGGCCACTAGATCTAAAAATCAACAACTAAATGGTGATGTAAATAAATCATTAGGATTATCCGAAGCTGCTCAATCCTTCCACTCCGAATTTTATGTCCCTGCTACTAAGTAAGTAGAAGGAACAAATACACAAGAACACAAACTCGGAAACAACCTATCTACATGTAGAGGTGAGACTACGTATATTTGACTAGGCCCCTACAGTGATAGAAGTCTAGTGTATTGGGATTGAGACTGCCCTTTAGAATACATGATGTGGAAGTATAACCATATCTTTCTAGATTTTTGTAAGATCTATCTAAATAATTGGCGCCGGCGATGTTTTTCTTTTTAGTGTAATAGTTTTGCTAAAATTTTTTATCTTGCAAAAATGAAAATTGCGACTTACCACCTTTGTATTCTTCAAGATATGAATTCAACACTATTACACATTTGACATTGGAAGTGAACCTAGGTTGTTTGTGTATCACTTGCAAATTCAACTCTGATTATTAATCTTGGTATTATTACATGGATAATAGATTTTTTTTATTTAATAATTTTTTTTGATAAATAATAAAATTTTATTAAAAAAGTATTAAGATGATACAATGGAAAATAATAGAAGAAGAAACGAAGAATCTTTCATTATATCAGTGTCAAAGTATATGAGATTTGTGTCATTCGTCTTTAAAGTACGAAATTTTTTGTATCATTTTGATCTTCAAAGTATGTTGCTAGCGGTCTCACATCTACTAGGAACCATTAATTTCTCTTTCATTTTTTTTTTTCCTATTCCCCCCACATTTTAGAAATTTTGAATTGCAATAAATAATGATAATTTTTTCTCAACACAAGATTTTAAAAAGTTTAAATATATATATATATATATATTTAAATTCCTCAAAAGAGATTTTTTTTCCCCCTAGAAGGATAACAACATATGAATTGTGGATATAAAATTATAGTTTTGTTTTTAAACCTTCATGTTGGAATTTTTCCCCCCACAATTTATATGCCACATCAATTTCAAACAATATAGCAATAACATTGCTATTAAAATCACACAAATGACATCCGGATGACTTAGGTAAATCATAGGAATATTGTGTAAGTTAACTGGCATTATAATTTAAATGTCCATATGTAGGTGTAGATGTCCCTTTCTCAAGCACTATGGTTTGTAAATGACATTTGGATGAACCAGCTAGGTTTCATTTTTGGAAATAAAAATATTTGGTCTCTAAAATGTTTACATCATACATAATTTGTTTTTCATCAATAATTCGTTACACGAATAAAAAAATAATATTGACATTTATTTTATATTGAAATGCATAATTTTTCCTTTTTTTACAAACATCTATATTAAATAAGTCATTTTAGTCTTACTAAAAGAGAAGTTGATATAACTATCCCAAACTTATGAAATTTTACCATGCTTGGTTCTAAAAAAATTGAGTTCACTTTACAAAAAATTGAGTTTTTTTATTTTTATTTTTGGTGAAATTTTTAAATATTTTACTCTAATTTTTTATTTTTTGCATACACATAATCTAAATATGCTTAAAAAGTATAATATTTGTGAAAAAAACTTTAAAAAATTCATCAAATGCAAAAAAAATCCAAAACAAATACGAAAATTCAATACATTTTGGTATTTTGTTGTATTCAATGATTTTTTTAAAAGATTTTAGTACAATTTTTTTTCTTTTTAAGTATATTAAAATTAAGTGAATCTAAAAATTTATAAAATCATTAAAATATTTTTAAAAATCATCAAAAATATATGTATAAAAAAATGAATTGAAAACTCAAAAAACTATTTTTAAAAATTAAAAAAACATCTTTTGCTTTTTCTTTTTTTAATCTAAAGAATGATTAGTGTAATTTATGTACAAAAAAAAAATATATATATATATATATATATAGAGAGAGGGTAGATCATGCAACTTGTATTCTTAAATTGATTCAGTATTCGTACAAACAATTTTTTTTTTTTTCAATATTCTATAAATTGATTCATTCTTCAATAGTATCCCAACACTTTGATTTACAACCATGAATTGCTTATGCATTTTGTTTGTATTTGTCATTCTCATTCTTGGTCATGCACAACTTTTAGTTTCATAGAAATTTTCTATTCTAATAATTGACTTTGTATACTTCCTAAATTTTGTAGATCAATCCGCAAGAATTCAAAATCCACGGCCTATTTAGCAATGACAATAATGGTCGTAATTGACATGCTCTACATGGCCACCATGAACCAAGCCTAAGTAAGTTTATTATTTTCAGTTTAATTTTTGTTATTGATCTCATGAGCAATAATTATATCTATGAAAAATAGAGCTATTTTTCTATGATGAGCATGACAATACAAAAAATAAAATAAATTAAAATATAATGTAATAGTACAAAATTGTGGCCCGTTACAAAATTCTAATATTTTGTAGGGTACAGCATTCACCTATCTTCTTCCTATGATGTCAATACAATGGCCCAATCTCTTAGCTGACAACCCGAGATTCTTTAATATACAACATTACACATATTTCTCTCTTGCACTTTTTATGAAAGTGCAGATTGAATGTGCTCTTAGAATAAATATACACTATTAGAATAAATATACGTCTTCCAGTATCAAGAACTCCTAAATACTGATCCTATCCAGGCAGTTCTTCTATTATTAGATGATACGCATTTAATACTTTCCTGCATTTGTATTCCGTTTTCACTTTTTTTAATTTTGATGAACTTTGAAGACTATGAACTTTTGATGACATGTGTCCATATCAATTTATGGGAGCAATTGATAGGTTGATTGTAGGTAATTTTGGTGGTTTAATGGACAATCAAATGGTTGAAATTCATTTTTGTGCAATGATCAGTGGACAGCTCATTCCTTGCAACTTACATGTTTGTTTCTAGTGATTCACAGCAGATCAAAATCAAACGTAAGTCATCAATTAATCTAAAAGATTCAATATCATTTTAAAAGTAAATTAATCTAAAATCATTTAGACATCATCATTGCACAAAAATGAATTTCAACCATTTGATTGTCCATTAAACCACCAAATTTACATACAATCAATCTATCAATTGCTCCCATAAATTGATATGGAGTGTAAAACAAGTCATTTGGTGCAACACGTGTCATCAAAAGTTTATAGTCTTCATAAACGAAATTCATCAAAATTAAAACAGTGAAAACGGAATATAAATGCAGAAAAGTATTAAATGCGTATCATCTAATAATAGAAGAGCTGCCTGGATAGGATCAATATTTACGAGTTCTTCGTACTGTAATAGTGTATGCTTATTCTAATAGCCCATTCAATCTGCTGTTTTATAAAAAGTGCAAGACAGAAATATGTGTAAGGTTGTATTATTAAAGAATCTCGTGTTGTCAACTAAGAGATTGGACCATTGTATTGACAGCATAGGAAGAAGATAGGTGAATGCCGTAACCTACAAAATATTAGAATTTAGTAATGAGCCACAATTTTGTACTATTACATTATATTTTAATTTATTTTATTTTTTGTATTGTCATGCTCACCATAGAAAAATAGCTCTATTTTTCATAGATATAATTGTTGCTCATGAGATCAAAAAAATAACAAAAATTAAAGTGAAAATAATAAACTTACTTAGGCTTGATTCATAATGGCCATGTAGAGCATGTCAATCACGACCATTGTTGCCATTGCTAAATACGTCGTGGATTTTGAATTCTTGCAGGATTCAAATTCACAGCTAATTATGAAGTATATAAAATCGATTATTAGAATAGAACGAATCAGACCATCATAGAAAAATAGCTCTATTCTCATAAATACAATTGTTACTCATTAGATCAAAAAATAATGAAACTAATAAACTTAGTTGGACTTGATTCATGGTGGCAACACCACTATCATATTATATGCATGAACACAATTTCCAGCAGATCAAAAAATAATGAAACTAATAAACTTAGTTGGACTTGATTCATGGTGGCCATGTAGAGCATGTCAATTGATGACTTGTCATGGCTAAATAGGCCATGGATTTTGAATTCTTATGGGATTGAATTGTTGTGGGATAGATATTCCACAAGAATTCAAATTCACAACCAATTTAAGAAGTATACAAAATTGATTACTAGAATAGAACAGAAGTATACGAAGTTGAATATTAGAATAGAACGAATCAAACCATTGTATGGCCAATTTATATGAAGCTAAAAGTTGTGCATTACCAGGAATGAGAATGACAAGTACAAACAAAATGCATAAGCAATTCATAGTAGTAAATAAAAATGTTGGGATACTATTGAAGAGAATGAATCAATTTATAGTGCAATTCAGTAACTTAGGTAATTTGGGTTTCATTCATATTGGGTTTGGACGGACAATCTTAGATTACAATTCAAATTTAGACATATACAACTCTCAGCATTAGTTGGGTTAAATTTAAACTTCTCCTCTGTCTGAACCGGTCCAAATTGCATCCCTAAATTTAACTTATTCTTGAAACATTCATTTCATTCATGCTCCGAGATAGTTTTGGAAACAACTATTGGATGAATCATTAATTTAATCATTCATTTCGTGCTCCCCATCAAGTCCAGATCATCTTCTAGTGCTATTGTTTAGTGCATTCTTGTTGTTCCTCGTTTTGGAGCAAAACTTTTTAATATATATATAATATATATATATCTGAGAAAAAAAAAAAAAAAAGAAACCACCATCGCCACTCTCCAGCAACCCACACCACCACGACTCCACAACCCAACCCACCGTGACCCGTACTCTCCGGCACCACTCTTCACCCCTAAGATTATCTAACCTCATAAAACCTTGTAATAAACACACACACACACACACACACACACACACTAAATCTAGGGAATTTTTTTTCTTAAAAAAAATCTTAGGATTTTAGTTTTGTAATAAAATAAATCTTAAAATTTAAAATTTATCAATTTAAATTTTAATCTTTTGATTTATTTTCAGATTTAACCATCCGTTTGTTCTATTAACTAAAACTAACAAAAATATATATATATATATATATATTTTAGTCATTAGGAGTTAATAGAACAAACGGATGGTTAAATCTGAAAATAAATCAAAAGATTAAAATTTAAATTGATAAATTTTAAATTTTAAGATTTATTTTATTACAAAACTAAAATCCTAAGATTTTTTTTAAGAAAAAAAATTTACTTAACGAAAATAAATTAATAATTTATATTAAAAATAAATTAAAAGATTAAAATTTAAATTGATAAAATTAAAAACTCAAATTTTATTTTGTTACATAAATTTTGTTTTTATAATTTTTCCAAAATTCTAGAGGAAAAAAAAAAAGAGGCATATTTGGGGGTTGTTTGGGATGTCCTAAATAAGTGCACTTTTTGACTTTTTAGACTAAAAAATTGAGGAAAAAAATATGGTTGTTTAGGTTAATTTTTGACTTTTTTTGAAAAAATGTGTATTAAAAAATTGTATAAATTAGTGTATAGGGGAAAATTAGGATTGAGAATTGTCCAGCCGTACTTTTTGACTTTTGTTGAATAGTGAGAACTTTTTGACTTTTTGAATAACTTTTTGACTTTTTGGGCACATGCCAAACTTGGCCTTGTTTGGCCGCATGAGTGATGTATTTTGTTGTGTAAAATGTGGAAGCCACTCACGGCACCTGTGAGTAGGGAATGTATTAGAGGATTAGCACTCTGGAATCTAGCACTCAACTCAAGCCACCACCTCAACTGCGGACCTAGGCTCGAACGGCTGTGATAGTGAGTACCAGGTGTAAAGCTTTAAATTGAACTTTACATAGTTGGTATAGGTAAAAATTATAAAAAAAAAAAAAAAGAAGGAAAAAAGATAAACTATTATGAGGAAAAAGACAAATTTGAATTCCTCTAAAGCTCCTAATTTAGAGCTCTTAAACATTTTTGAGGCTTGAAAATCAATCCAATGAGATTGATGTTCAAATACAATTTTGCCATTTCCCCTCAATCAGTCTTCTAAGGGCATCTGCATGAGACTCAATAAATTTGAGTTAAATTATAACTAAAAATTTATTTTTATATTTTAATTGGTATTTTTTTTAATTGTATACACTATCAAATTTTTTATTTTAAAATTTAATTTTATAAAATATTCATTTTTTATTAGATGGTCAACCAAGTGGATGACTAGGTGGTTGATCACTTGGTGAAAATTGTCCAGTTTTGAGAGATATTGGGTGGCTGATTGGGTGGATGACCAGGTGGTCGACCACTTGGTGATATCTTATCTAGAATAAATAATAAAATAATGTATAACTTATGAACAGTACATCGCTGCGTCAAGCAATATACTGTAGCAATGTCAAAATTTATTTTGTTGTAGATTGATGCAATGGTTCTTTTGGACATTGTCTGACTAACATAGCTCCAAAACTAATATAGCAAGCCCGATGCAAATGCTCAAATGAAAAAGGAGTAATTGTGGAATTTCATATATTATACTATCCAAAGATAGTAAAATAAAAAAATAAAAAATTAGTATCATGTTATTACTAATCCGGTAATATACGAACAAGAACCGGGCACCACTCCAATCATCCATCTAAACTGGAGGGTGTTGTCTGAGTTCGTGAGATCTACCACAAGCTTAGTTTCGATGATTCAAACTGTTCATTTTGTAAGATTTTTCTTTTTGAATTAGAGGGTGTTGTCCGAGTTTGTGGGACCTATCACAAGCTTGGTTTCGATGACTCGAACCGTACATTTAATAAGATTTTTTATTTATATTATCTATATAGAAAAAATAGGTAGATTTGATAATCATAATCTATTTAATTTATTGAGTGTATTATGATTATCAAATTAATCTATTTTTTTTTAAAAAAAAATTATGAATAACATAAATAAAGAACTTTATAACATAAATAATTCAAATTATCAAAATTATACCCGTAGTGAGCCCCATAAGTCTGAATAGAACTGTCCAGTTGAGATGAGTGGCTGGAGGGGAGCCATTTCCTACAAACAAAGACTATTTTATCTTACAATTTCAATCTAGGTACGTATCACACTAATAATCCTATCACATAATCCTATTATACTCACAATTCCATCCAATATAAACAAGCTCAAACAGAATCCCATATAAAGTAGGTTTTGGATTATGTGATTGATTTCAATACAAATTGAAGGAATTAAAATTAAGATTGAGTTTGGATTAGGAGAAACACCACTACTCCAAATACAATCCTTTTGATCGCCTCCTAACTCCTTTCTCTACGCCATTGATATAGTCCCTTGAAGCTCAAGTCTCTCTCTCTCTCTCTCTCTCTCCATGGAAGAACAAGTAGATTGTATTAGTGCTCTACCAGACACTATCATACTCCACATCCTTTCATTCTTGCTGATGAAGCTTGCAATTCACAGACATTTTGTCTAAAAGGTGGCGTGACCTCTGGAAATTCAACCCCGTTCTCGATTTCCGATGCTTTCCTTTTCTATATACCGAACAACAATCGAACCTATCGTCGATTATAGCTTTATCGATCGGTGTCTTAGCCTTCACAAATCCTCTACAATTCGAAAACTCACTGTCATCGCCCCAGTTGATCAGTATCACATTCCCAACCCCGATATCAAGAACTGGGTCAATTTCGCAATTGCAAAGCACGTTAGATTTCTCGAGTTCTATTGGCAAGGAGATTATACGTCTTTGTTTTTCTTTAAATTGCCCAATTCATTCTTCTTTGTTAATACTGAGTGGTTAGAACAATTGGTGTTGAGCCGTGTTGATTTTTGCCCACCCACAAAACTTGATTGTGAATTCAGGGGCTTTGTGTCATTGAAAAAACTCACTCTTTTTTATTCTTACCTTACTGATCAAGCGCTCGAAGCCATTGTATCTAAATGCTCGGTTCTTGAGAATTTAGCTTTGCACTTTTGCCAAGGGCTTTACATGGTGAAGGTTTCTAGCATGAGTCTTAAGGAATTTGTACTTTATCGGGTAAGCGTAGGAAGAGAGTTCTCAGTAGAAGTGGATGCACCCAATTTAGTGACCCTCAAGACTTGGGCTTGCGTGAATATGCTTCGCATTCACAATCCTTGTCGACATCTTGAAGTTACACTATTTGATTGGTGCATTACGCGATTGGAGAAAAGCAATGTTAACATTGCTTGGCCAACTCGCTGAGATCGAGGTTCTTGCTGCTTCCAAATGGATTATTGAGGTAGTAATTGTTTACATGTAATTGTCGTTGGTTCTTATTATTTATTGTTGCTAATTTTGTGTGTATTTTTTTCATTATGCCATTTTGGCCATTCAAAAGTTTGTGATCGAAGAATATTATCTGAATGCTGATCGTTGTGCTCTATTCAAGAACCTCAAGGAATTCTATATTCTAGCTTCACCCATGAAGGAAGAATATAATGTGGTTATGTTCTTGGCCTTTTTGGAAGATTGTCCCGTTCTCCAGAAAATTCAAATCGATGTAAGTTTCTGTTCATATTTTTATGTCGTGGTTTTTTTTAAGCTTACAATCTTTACAACAATCTTTTTATGCATCACAGTTTCGAAGGTCTTGTTGGAATGGGATACACAAGAAATTGTCCACATATGGGGATGCAAAATATCCAAGCATGTTTTCAAATGAGGCGCGTGATTGTAAAGATTTGGACACTTATTTTCTCAAATTAGAGGGTGGAGAACAGTTACCTCAAGTTGGGCTTCTACATCGGCTTAAGACTATTTAGTTGTTGTACTTCTCTGGTTATAAATGTCAGATGGCGCTGGTGAAGTGTTTGTTGGAAAAGGCAGTGAGTTTAGAGACTCTCTATCTCCAGTTTTTGATGATCCTGAACAGTACTTCCAAAAAGAGTGTTGGTTGAGAAACGGGCATGTACCTTTTAATGAGAGAGAGTTGATTCGAGAACAAGTGAGTCTCTTCACCAGAGTTTCTCCTCATGCCCAGATCGTGATTAATTGAAAGTTGTGCTCAGGACCTTGTAATTGGGAACTTTTGCTTTGGTTAATTAGCTACATGTTTTGGTTGGAGTTGAATTGAAACTCGAACCTCAAAAGACACTACATGCTTTGATTAACTTTTGATTTTGCAAATGCTGATTTGAGTCTGTACCAGTTACTATGATTTGTATCTAATATTTTGGAGTTCCATTGTAGAATTTTAACTATTTTACATGCCCTCTTCAGCACATTCATAACATTTTTTGGGGTTACAATTCTAACATAATTTAATTTCAGTAATAAATTAAAACTTAATCTATTAATTTTATCAATTTAAACTACACATTTTTAAATGAGTTTCAATTAAATCAATCAATCCATCACTTTACATTTTTAAATGAGTTTCAATTAAATCAATCAATCAATCCAAGTCTGTGTATTACAACTAACAGAGAAATGATAAATTAGTCATTTTACCCAATATTCTATGGATGTCAATTTACCAATAAAATTTTGTTACAAAATCCACTCTCCACCGCCTCGCCTCCTCCACCACTATCACCACCACCACCTCCCCACTTTGTCACCCCTTCGCTCACCCCTACTCCACCATTACCACCAACTCTATCCACATCCCAAAATTCCATGCCACTTACTCCTCCATCCATTTCTTTCCATCTTTAGGTTAATAGATACAAACACATTCACACACATATACATCTATAATCCATCTATCTATCGATACTATTATTATATATCGTGTTGACACAAAATATCTCATATTTCAAATATTTTTTTAAAAATATGCCTATAGTAGGTGTTCATGTAAAATTATATTATGAGGACAAGATTCAAAACTAAGATCATGCCTTTAATTATGAAGGCACTTATCACTTGAACAACACATGTTATGTGCGCATTTATCTTTGTTATTATTCTTATATTATTACACTACAAAAATTTCGGTTTTTTGCATGCCGTCGCAAATACTCAAAATGTCATCTCAAAAATTTTTTTGCGACAGCAACTGACTTTTAGCGACGACAAGTGGGGGGTCACAACAAAGGGCGTTGCTAAAAGTTTTTAGCGACGACACCTTTTTTTTGCGACGGAATTCTACTGTCAGCATTAATATGTAAAAATCTGAGATTTTTTGAGACGGCGCTGTGTTAACTACTATATAATTACAAAGATAATTAAGTAAATAATTTTGGCTAGACAGAAATCTGGCTCTAACTTCTAAACCAGAAACTCGATTGGAGTCTTGTCTTCTCCCACAAGACTCTCGTGCCTAAGCGGTCGTGTGTGCCAAGTTTCGTGCTAAACCGACGCCGTTTGGTGATTTTGGAGCGTCAACACCTCGAATTCAAATTTCTTAAGGAAATAGTTTGCCTAGAGTGAAATCCGGCTCTAACTCTCAAACCGGGAACCCGATTGGAGTCCCGTCTTCTCCCACAAGTCTCTCGTGCCTAGACGGTCGTGTGTGCCAAGTTTCGTGCTAAACCGACGCCGTTTGGTGATTTTGGGGGCGTCAACACCTCGAATTCAAGTTTCTTAAGGAACTAGTTTGCCTAGAGTGAAATCCAGCTCTAACTCCCAAACCGGGAACCCGATTGGAGTCCCGTCTTCTCCCACAAGTCTCTCATGCCTAGACGGTCGTGTGTGCCAAGTTTCGTGCTAAACCGACGCCGTTTGGTGATTTTGGGGGCGTCAACACCTCGAATTCAAGTTTTTTAAGGAACTAGTTTGCCTAGAGTGAAATCCAGCTCTAACTCCCAAACCGGGAACCCGATTGGAGTCTCGTCTTCTTCCACAAGTCTCTCGTGCCTAGGCAGTCGTGTGTGCTAAGTTTTGTGCTAAACCGACGCCGTTTGGTGATTTTGGGGCGTCAACACCTCGAATTCAAGTTTCTTAATGAATTAGTTTGCCTAGAGTGAAATCCGGCTCTAACTCTCAAACCGGGAACCCGATTGGAGTCCCGTCTTCTTCCACAAGTCTCTCGTGCCTAGGCAGTCATGTGTGTTAAGTTTTGTGTTAAACCGACGCCGTTTGGTGATTTTGGGGCGTCAACACCTCGAATTCAAGTTTCTTAATGAATTAGTTTGCCTAGAGTGAAATCCGGCTCTAACTCTCAAACCGGGAACCCGATTGGAGTCCCGTCTTCTTCCACAAGTCTCTCGTGCCTAGGCAGTCATGTGTGTTAAGTTTTGTGTTAAACCCCGTTTGGTGATTTTGGGGGCGTCAACACCTCGAATTCAAGTTTCTTAAGGAACTAGTTTGCCTAGAGTGAAATCCGGTTCTAACTCTCAAACCGGGAACCCAATTGGAGTCCCATCTTTTCCCACAAGTCTCTCGTGCCTAGGCGGTCGTGTGTGCCAAGTTTCGTGCTAAATCGACGCCGTTTGGTGATTTTGGGGTGTCAACACCTCGAATTCAAGTTTCTTAAAGAACTAGTTTGCATAGAGTGAAATCCGGCTCTAACTCACAAACCGGGAACCCGATTGGAGTCATGTCTTCTCCCACAAGTCTCTCGTGCCTAGACGGTCGTGTGTGCCAAGTTTCGTGCTAAACCGAAGCCGTTTGGTAATTTAATATAAACAAATAATTTAAGGTTCAACATAAGAAATATCAAATATTAAACCCTTGAAACATAAATGAGCTATTCATTAATAATTTACAAATTCATAAATGAGGCATGAGTTATTCACAAATTATAGTTTAGTTATTACAAGCATTTACAATTTACAGGAACAAAGGAGAAGAAAAAAAAAACAGAGAACCAAGAAAAAGAAAAAAGATGAGGAAGTCATTTACAGAAGCAAAGAAGAAAAATAGAGTTAAAAATCAGGAAAAAAGGAACAGGTGTAATTCATGAAAAGTGGAACTCGGCAGGAAAAAAAACCAGAGGCATGAAATCATTGCAACAGGGAGTGAAAAAAAGAAAAGAAGCAACCCAATAGAAAAGGGAGCAAAGGAGGAAGAGAGAGGTGTAAACTAAGAAACAGAACCACAACCCAGTTGAGAGGAGAAAGAAAAAAAGAACTTAGAAGGCATGGACTCAAGTACCAGTACCAGTACCAGGTGTGAGTGTGTATCCAAACATTCATTAGACCTTCATAAACCTAAATCTTAAGATATTGGGATATGCATCTAAAAGTTGAGTATGAGTACATAGACATATCCTGAACACTTACATATATTACATATTGTATAATATTCTTAGATAAGATAATATAAATTACTTAGATTGTACTTAAAATTAAATAGAATTTAAAAACTTTCTATCTCTCATCTATGTGAGAGACCAGAAATATTATTTTACTAGCAAATGTAATATTCTTCTTCAAACATCATAGAAAATTAGGGGAGCAAAGGAGGAAGAGAGAGGTGTAAAATAAGAAACAGAACCACAACCCAGTTGAGAGGAGAAAAAAAAAAGAACTTAGAAGGCATGGACTCAAGTACCAGTACCAGGTGTGAGTGTGTATCCAAACATTCATTAGACCTTCATAAACCTAAATCTTAAGATATTGGGAAATGCATCTAAAAGTTGAGTATGAGTACATAGACATATCCTGAACACTTATATATATATATATATATTACATATTGTATAATATTCTTAGATAAGATAATATAAATTACTTAGATTGTACTTAAAATTAAATAGAATTTAAAAACTTTCTATCTCTCATCTATGTGAGAGACCAGAAATATTATTTTACTAGCAAATGTAATATTCTTCTTCAAACATCATAGAAAATTAGAGGATCCAAGTGTCTAAATTAAATATGGGTGTTGGACAAATATCCCACACCCCTACCCTTGTCATATCTGGTATATTATGGGGAAATAGAAAGAGTTCATGTAACACTGGGAGTGGAAGTAGAAGAAGAACATGGTCCATCAGATGAGCAAGACTCTGATGGCTGAATTGAAGTTCGTCAGCAGAGGAAAGTTGTTAATAGAGCTGTTGTTCAATGCCTAGGGCATTTTTACTGGGAAAACATGGCTCAAACACATGTCTGCATTTTATATTAAACAGTTAAATTCCCTGTGGCTGAACACACAAAGACATCAGTTAAACCAAAATTTTAGTTAAGTGCACAATGTGATCGCCTTGTGCATGTGCCAAAGGCACGTGCCTCAGCTGTCTTGCATACATTGCCTAGCCTCAAGCTGTCCAATGCACTATAGCTGCACCCAGCCTTAAACAACAATGGATTAACCTACTGCCCACTTATACATAAGGGGCCAACAAGCAATGCACCTCTCTCTCTCATAAAAAATTGACATAAAATTCTCATCCGTGCTAACCAAATCTGAACTTAGGTTCACATAGACATCAGTACGTGTTACTAGAGAAGTTCTTTGATAACAACATGGGATAATATGGTGCAGTAAAAGAGTTGACATAATTTATAGCACAGGTGAAGACCTTTTACACATGTTATAACAATAAGAGAAAAGAAAAGAGCATATCAGTTATAAAATAGCATACTTCCAAAATAAACCTATCGATGCTATTCTTTGTTCAAATCTAATTACATATGGTCTCAAACTCGGAGTTGAATTAACTGCTAAGCCCAAAAAAAAAAAAAAGTGTCATGGTTCAGAACACCGATTTTATCCAAAGCAGACTTGAACAAACACTTAATAAGAATACTCTGAAAATAAGGATGTCCTAATAAAATTCAGTTTCTAGTCTTTGAAGGATCTGGACTCAACAAAATAAAATTGTAACAATCAAAAGCAAGGAAAAACAATATCCATTGCGATTTTTTCAAAAGAAAGGTGAAAGTTCAAACAAACCTGATTCATAACTTCCTTTATCATTTCTCTTGCCATCTCAATCTGCTTCTTATCACCAGCCACGCGCACTGTCCTTTCTTTAGATTGGTCCCCATCAGGAAGATGTGGTATCAACTAAACAAAATAACATTGTCAGTATTTGTGAAATGGTATCACTTTTATGAAGGACAGTCATCGCCTCTGTTGAGAATTCTTGTACTTATTTTCACATACATCTCAAAGCAGGGCCATATGATATCAAGTACCCGAATGCGTGCCCCTGATCTTGTCTGTAGAATTTTAATAGTCTCCCCACCTTTACCTATGATTACACCAACCTGGGACAAAAGAAAGTTCAAATATGGAATGGTCAGAAAGAAGCAAGCAAGAGAGGGAGGCAATGAGGCAGAGAGAGTGAAAACCAACTAAGATGAAGACCAAAGTCACTTTCTCATTTGGAACTTGTATGAGAACTTGTTCACAGTGCCAGCAGCTTGTACCACACCGAAACCCCTAGCCACAAGGGAGGAGGAACCCCCCGCATCAGCCTACAAAAAATAAATGTAGCTTTATCAAAGAAGAAACAAACCGTAACACCAAAAGAACAAAGCAAATGCAGGTCAACCATAAACAAAATGTGGGGGCAATTAAGAAGAGAGTAGATGAAAGAAAAAGACATCAAGTCTAGAAGCATAGGACCTCAGCTATAACATCTTTTATCAGTTTCTCAGCCATGTTTATATTTTCCTAAGTTCCTATTAGCTCCACAGGCCGAGTGGCAGAATATGGATCAGCATCAGCATCCCTTATGATCTGAATCTTGGCACCTGAATTGATTTGTAGAAACCGTATAGTATCACCAGCCTTGCCAATGAGAACTCCAATCTGCACCAAAATTGGCTATCTTTTAGAAAACACCATATCAAAGAAAATTGGAGCTAGTTAATTCCACGGATAAGCACAGACCAAAAATGTTGATGAGCTGTATGGTGAGACAAAAGAAAAGGTGGCAAAACATCCCATTTCCCCTTATCTAGTAGCCAGCTCATGTACAAGTTAATAAATATTTTTCTCCATTAAAGTGTTTCTCAATTTATTTTTTTTTCTAAAACTCTAAAAAATTTTCAGCAAAAAACAACAAAACTATGTCCATTTTATCTTATAACTATCATTCTATTAGTAGCCAATGTGAACTCAACTAGATCAAATTTCACCTCAAGCCATGGATAAAATCAACTACCCTGATCCCATTGTGCCACACATCCCTGGCTAAATAAAACATGCATCCTAACTCAAAATTCAGATGATGATAGAGCAGGACAGCCGAGATTTTTATGGATTCAAAATCCAATTTACAACGGAAAGCTATGTGTGAAAATGTTATAGAAGTCATGTTTCTGTAGAATTGTTGTACTTATGGAAGGCTAAGAAGAAACTAAAACAATACTAAAAAGACAATAAAAGAGAAGAGCAGAGCAGAGAAGAGAAGAGAAGAGAAGAAAGATGAGGTCTCAAAAGGAGTAAAAAGTACCCCATGGAAGATCCATCTGAGGTCCACACTAAAATCAAGCTCTAGATCCCCTCTTGAATCATGAAACTAACACATTCATCAAAAGTCAGTTTTTTCTTTTCCATTTATAGACCATATTTTGTCTTTCCTACACCCTCATCTAAACTTCATAAGCAATTTACCATCATTTTCACAATTAACCCTTTCATCTAATAATCCAATCAACAAGAACCCAAGTTGGGGAGAGGGGTGTTTGATCTCCCTTGAAACACCATTTCTTACTAACAAGAAAACAAAAGGCAACATCACAATTTTCAATTCACCTTATTATTAGGGATTTCCATTTTCTGTGACATAGTTTGAGTCTCAGATGCAGGTTGCTGTTCTGCAGAAGGAACATCCTCATGTTGAGGAACTTCTGCGGGGGGTTCCTGAAGCTGTTCACCTCCAGATGCAGGTTGATGTTCCCCTCTAGATGGCTGTTGCTAAGCACTTTCCAGCTGAGAATCATCAAAAGGCTGATCACTGAATATTCGTAATAAACCCCTTTTTTTTCTCTCGCCCTACTTTTCTACCACACCATCATCAGTGTGTGTGTGTGTGTGTGTGAGAGAGAGAGAGAGAGAGCATACTGACTGAGCTCGCGGGAGAGAGAGAGATCGTAATACGCCGTCGCCGCACCACCGCTAACCGTCGTCGAGAGCGATTGAGACTGCTAGCCGTCGTCGCTCGTTGAGAGAGAGATCGTCGGTGAACACTCGAAATCTCTGTGATCGTCGGTGAACACGAACTCGAACTCGTCCTCGTCTCTGTGATTGTGAACTCGAAATCTCTGTGATTGTGAGGGAGAACGGTGTTAGGGATTTTGGGGATGAAATTTTGGGGGTTTTGATCGAGCGCCAATTGGGCTAAGAGAGAGGGAGATGAAATATTTTCAGTACCTTTTGCGACGGTATAGATAGCCGTCACAAATGATAAAATACATTTATTAAAACGATGCCGTTTTAATAAGAGTTTTTTTCCGACGGAGAATTGCCATCACGAATGTCCACTATTTGCGATGGTAAATTTCACCCGTCTCAAAAAAATTTATTTTTGCGACGGTACACAATGCGTCCCGAATACCTCCATATTTAAGACACTTTTTCTTGTGTGCTTATTAGCGACGGGGTGACTATCGTCGCAGAAGATATTTATTTGAGACGGCTTCAAATACCATCGCAAAAGATCATTTTTGCGACGGGATACATGCCGTCGCAAAAAGTTCTGTCTTTTATAAGCACTTTTCTTGTAGTGTAAATTTTTTTTTGAATTGTGCAGATTGCTAGTACTATGAAGCCTTTAGATGGTATTGACAAAAAATGTCTCATATATGCTTTTTTCCTAAAGTAGCTATCTTTATTCAATATATTTTAAAATTAACAATATATAATAAGAGCATAATCAACAACGTCAACGTGATAACTATTTCTTAACTCTTTTCAAGAAGGAAAATAAGTGGGAGCTCTAATTAGAGCTACCACTAGTGATATGGCAGTTGGTCCCACTTACTGCCACAGTTTGTATTGTGTTTGTTTTTCTTTTCTTTTTTTTTGTTTTTTTGCTTTATCACCTCATTAGTGGTGAGTTTAGAATCACTAAATTGGTGGTCTCTAGCACCACCCTTTCAAGAATTCACATTTTTTAAAGTACACAATTTTCCACCAGAGGATTCTCCAGCATTCCCATCAACCACATTTTCATAAATCTCATTTCTTTCAAACACCACTTTCAAAATCACGTTTGTTCAACAATACCTACTTTTCCACGCTCAAAGTTTCTCATTAAATTAACGAAGACTTCAATTTCAACATTTTCAACTTCTAGGATTTTATTAAAATTTGAGAATTTCTCACATTTTAAAGATACTTTCATAAAAACCCAAGCATTTTACAAAGAACATGATCCACCAACAAGAATTTCAAGAAAATTTGAGAGTTTTCCCTCTTTTTAGTATAAATATTGTTACCCAAAAAGCAACGCAAAAGGGGGGTGAATTGGATTTCTACAAATTAAAAACTAGCAATTACCCAACAAAAATTATGAACTAATACAACAAATAATAATTGATGATAGGTAGATTTAGCAAATGAATAACAGGTAATTATCAAGAATATTAGATGAAATATCAGTGGAGTATAGCTAACACAGTGAATAGAAAGTGAGATAAGAGAAACAGATGCAAACAGATTTATAATGGTTCGGCTTCAACCAAGCCTACGTAACTACGTTCACTCCTCAAGTTTTACTTGAGATTTTTCACTATCCTTTTAGCTTCACATGGGTGCCACACATAGAGCAATCCTCCACAAATTTACACAGACTATTCAAGTCTTCAAGCCCTTGCAAACCTTAGATGATTCTCAACCTCTATCAAGAAATCAAGAAAAATAAGTATACTGACTCTTACAAGATTGTGATGATTTTTTTTGCTCTCAAATAAAGCTACAAGGATGATTTCTCTCAAGTAGATACAAAATATTAAATCTCAAATTTTTCTATAAAACCTTTCAAGGGCAAATAAGCATAAGGCTTAAGCTTAGTGTTTGATTATTGAAGAGGAATGAAGAGGATGAAGAACACTTCAGATTTCTCAAAGAATAGAGAGTTTAAGATTGATGAAGAATCAGAGAAAATTTTCTTAGCTCATTGTTGTCTATAGCTCTTCACATCAGAGCTCTGTGTATAGCAGAGTTCAATGATCTGTTGTATCTGACATTACCCATTCTTTTCTTCCCATTGAGGAGATGGGATGGTGGTGGGCGAGATAATAGATAAGCATTGTTCAAAGATTGTCTTTTGCTCATGTGATTTTTGCCTGTTGAATGATGGGTGAAAGAAATTGTTGGTGAAAATATCAGAAGAATTATATTTAAGCTTGAAAATAGGCCATCGGAGGCCAAAATCGTGTAACAGCCACAAGACGGCCCGGGGAACACCTCAAACACGTTGGGAGAGACCAATGTAAGTTGTGGAAACTTACGGAACTAGCACGGGAGTCTTGGTTTGAAAACTAAATCGAAAAAGATACTTTTTTCACACATAAGCTTGAAAATTGGCCTTCGGGGGCCAAAATCATGCAATAGCCACGAGACGGCCCGGGGAACACCTCAAACACCTCGGAAGGGACCAATGTGAGTTGTGAAAACTAACGGAATTAGTATGGGACTCCCGGTTTGAAAACTAAGTCTAAAAATGCATCGTTTCCAACTCTTAAGCTCGAAAACAGGCCATCGGGGGGCCAAAATCGTTAAACAACCCTGAGAAGGCCTGGGGAACATCTCAATCAACTCAGAAGCAACCGTTGTAGCTTGTGTAAACTTACAGAACTAGCACGGGACTCCCGTTTTGAAAACTAAGTCGAAAAATGAATTTTTCCAACACTTAAGCTTGTAAATAGGACATCAGGGGGCCAAAATCGTGTAACATGCATGGGAAGGCCTCAAACACCTCGGGAGGGATCAATGTAAGTTGTGGAAACTTATGGAACTAGCACCGGACTCCCGATTTGAAAACTAAGTCAAAAAATGCATGTTAAATTCTATATTTAATTGATAAGATAATAATTGTCTAACTTGCATTTTTTTTTTTTTTTTTTTTTTTTTTGGTTTCATTTTTTTGCAGATTCGAGAGTAGATATGAACATGTTTGGTAATTTGGAGAGCAAAAGCTAGCTCATTTTGTGTTTTTGTTCATATTACCTTACATGTATTTTGGTTGTGTTGTAAATTTTATATTTTTGTTGGTATTACAGGGCATGTTTGGTAATCCACCTTTCATATTTTATTTTTGTTGATGTTAGTAGACATGTTTTTTTTTTGATATTAGGAGATGTGTTTGGTAATTTGCATATGGTTGATATTATATTTTTGTGGATATTAGTAGACGTTTTTTGTGGCTATTAAGAGACATGTTTATAATCCGTATGCAGTTCATATTGTATTTTTGTGGATAGTGCTAAAATTCGATTGTGATGTTTATGAAAATGAACAAATTTTTGTATTGATTTGTAAATAGACATTTTATTGAACAGGTTACTACAATGCGCAGGAAATTTTTACTGAAAAGAAAAATTTTAATTTGAAAATAGTACCCTCATTTTAAAAATTTTCAATTATTATTAGCAACGAAATAAAAAATGTCGCTATTAGTTTTCAAAAAACATAACGAAAATTTTTGTCACTAATGATATAGTACCAAACAAATAATTTTGTCACATTTGCTGAATATTTTGTTGCTAAATTAAAATATTTGGTGACAAAATATTTTTTGTAATTGAAGAATTTTCTTTTTTGCTCATTTTAGTGACGAATTTTTTTGTCACCTTAATCTATATCATTGGTGAGGAAAACTTTCGTCACTAAAATCTATTTGATGACGAAATATTTCGTCGCCAAAAACAATTAAAATAAAATATTATCTAGTTTTGGTGACAAAATTGATGTTATAGAGGACGAAAAATGCAACATTTGGAGACGAAACATTTCGTCGCCAAAAATGAAAAATAGGCGACGAAACTGTTTTTCGTCACCAGATACTTTCAGCGACAACGTATAGGCGACAAACTTGGTGACAAATTTTTTTCGTCACAGATCATTTTAGTGACGAAAATTTGATGTTTGGAGACAAAATTAGTCTGTCACCAAAGACCTTTTTTGTTATAGTGGAGAGTTTTTGAATGAATGAAATGGAAATGGTTATGGAAGTAGATATGAACTTACATTATGTTAAAATAGTTGATTTTGAAGTTTGGGATGAACTTGGGAAAAATGGGGTTTTGCCCTAAAACGACTCAAATGATTATTTTGTATAAATAATGGAATTGGTATTGAAAGTGTGAAATTGTGAGGTTACTTACATGAATGGTGTAGTTGGATTTGTTTAATCTCTCACCTATAGAAGTTTGGATAATTTATCTGTTGTGAGGATTGTATATCTATTTAGAAATATCTGTCTTGGGCTATCAGTGGAGGATAGCTATGATTGTTGTAAAAATTGCATGTGGATTAGGTGAATTGAAACTAATTTCTTAGCCATTGTCATTGAATATGATTATAAATTGTATACATTGTATATGTATGATATTTGGGAGGAGAAAGGGGATGTACTTTACGTTTGGGAGAAGAAAGGGAATGGACTCCATTAAATTAAGTTAGCTTGTGTGTCTAGGGTGAAAGTCCCGAAAATCGGACATATACATGGATGCCGATTCCTGTGGACGAAATTTCCGTAAAATGGCAAGTAAATGTAATTGTATGTTAATTATGTTGGTTGGAGGCCTATAGGGTGTATCCTCTATTTGGTTGGCTAAATGAAGTGGGTATAACTAATGAATTGAGATAAAATGGATTGAGATGTAAGTTTGGCCTAAGTTGGTTTTGGAAAAGAGTTGTAAAAAATTTTGTCGTTTGAGCATTGAACATGTGCATTATACTTATATCTTTGTTAAGATTCATATATTGTGCTAGATTGTCTCTACTGAGCCTTGGTTCACCTTACTTGGGAAAATCATTTTCAGGTATTGGTAACGTGCCTCCTCCAAGGACTTAGCTTGGGAGGACTTGGGAGCTGAAGGCTCTGTTTTTGTTGTTTTGTATTTGATATTTGTACAAGCCTAGGGCTTTATATGTATGGAACCTAAGACTCTCTCTTTTGTTGTAACCAAGCATTGTCTTGGAAAGCTGTAAGCCTGTGGGGCATTTATTGGTTGATCATGAAGTTGGTATCACATGCTGTAAATTCAGGGTAGAGCTTATGAATGTATATCACATGTATTACCTTTTGTAATTTAACTTTGATTAATAAAAGTCTATTATTTTGTTTAAGTCACCTTGTATGAGTCATTCGCAGTGAATATTTGTAATTGTTTTTGGGACGTTACAGTAGGTATTGTAGTGGAAGTTTAAATTAAGCTGAAT